AGATAGAAACCTCAATGATGAGACAGAATCATTGATCTATTGTGTCCTGCATGGTCACAATTGTGTATGGAGTTCATAACTCTGGCATGTGCTCTGTCCAGGAATGGAATCACAGGTCAAAGCTCAACCACTGAGCCACATCAACCAGGCTCCATTCTGTGATGAAATGTATTTTCAGTTAGTTTAAAATTCTAAGTTGATGGCTTTTCTTTTTTTCTTTAAAGTAGTAATTCCTTCATTTCCTTGTGTGTGTGTGTGTGTGTGTGTGTGTGTGTGTGTGTGTGTGTGACATTTGATGTTTTTATTAATCTTTAGAAAATATGGTTATTGATGTCAGAGAAGTAGGGAAAGGGATAAGGATATGAGAACATCAGTGATGAGAGAGAATCATTGATTGGCTGCCTCCTACATGCCTCCTATAGGGAATTGATCCTGCAACCTAGGGCCTGTGCCCTGACCTGGAAATAAACACACAACCTGGTGATTCCTGTGCCAATGCTCAGCCCCTAAGCCATATCCCCAGCTCCTTCCCTCTCTGAGTAGCATGTACTTGACTTAGGGTTGGTTCAGTTGCTGCAGGTCGGACTGTGTTACAGAGCCTGACAGATGCCAGTTCTGAGGGTTTCCATTTGTTTTCTGGTGCTTTTGTGGAGAAACAAGAATTTGGAGCTGACTACACCACCATTTTGCTTCTGCCCCTTCTGCTCAGTGACTCCTTTTGATCAAACAGTGAATGAGAAGGAGAAGAGCGACCACCATGGAACTCTACCAACAACAGAGAGAACAGAGGGGGCAGCGCCCATCCCATGCCAGCAGAGCCCGGAGGAGGGACCTGGGCTGAGCAGTCAGTCTGGTGTTTGTAAGAAGAGCCTGTGTTTTAGGAAGATGAGCTTCCTGATCCTGGAGGACCCCAGACACACGTCCAGAAGGGGTGGCTTTGAGAGGAGTTAGTTTGATGGGCAGATGGACAGGGCAGGGTCCATGGAAAACCCAGGCAGGTGGCTGGTAGGCAGGGACAGACTCTGCAGTCTGAGTAGCCTTAGCACAGGCACCAACCAGGCAGCAATAGCAGAATGTTTCTGGACTCAGAGCTGGAGGCCTGGGAAATGAGGGAGTGCCTGGGATAGATAGGGAACAGAGGACATGCAGGCCCCTTGCTTGGCATGAACAATGAGGGTCAATCAGGTGGGCACAGGGCTGGACACAAAGCGGGCTGGTGGCCCATATACACTCGAGACCACAGGCTTCAGGAGCAGTCCATCAGGGGGCCCCTTGCTGTGCAGGGAGCCTGAATCTGCTTGTAATAAGTATCCATGCTTATGCTTAAATTTTCTAGTCCCTGATTTCATGTTGGACTTGGTGACCCCGATCCCAGGACAGAAGAAGCTGGGCTTTCTGTTCTAGTGATAAAGTTGGCTCAAATAAACTCTTAACAGGCTTAGAGGTTCTCATGTCAAGGACTTCAAAGTGGCCCATTTATGTTGTGGATTTTATGCTGATTCAACCAGCAGGGGAGCCTGACAGAGTGTCACAGGGGAGAAGGCACAGCTGGGGAAGCTGCCTTTCTTTCCTTGTCCTTCTTTGTACCCTTTCCTTGACTCCAGAGAGGAGGCCAGTGGAGCCATGGAAACATAGATGATGAGAATCACTGATTGTCTGCCTCCTACCCTCTCCCCCGTGCCAACTCCCCATATCTCCTAACCCCTGCCTGGGATTGAGACTGACCAAGGATTTTAACCATGACCTCCTGGTTCGTAGGTTGATGCTCAACCACCTTATCATGCCTGCTGGGCTGGAAAAAGATGGGAAACTTATGTTCATGACAACCAACAGCAATACTTGTCTCATCTCCAACAACTGTGAACTCATTTGAACTCATCCCGTCCGAATACCAGGCTTTTATAATTCTGTGCACTTCCTTCTCCACACGGGGAAGAAACATGTGTGAACACATGTTGTAAATGAAGAAAAGGCAACATGTTGATGTAACAAATGTCCAAACACTTATGGAATGTTTTATAAGATTTTATTGGAGACAAATGGATGAGATGTTGGGAAGCAAAACCTCAAATGCTCCGGAGAATAACTGTTTGCAGCTGTGTTTGTGCATTTGAAGTTAAGGAGGGAAGGTGAGGGTGACATGGAGGTGGAGGAGAGCACAGCGGGGACTGGGTGACAGGACAGTGAAAAGGAGGTGCTCCCTGAGGGTGGTCATGCTGATGACACAGGTGTGTGAACCCAGATGCCCAGGAACCATGGACGGGGTGCTTCAGGCAAAGAGGGGCCTTTTAGTAAAGAAGTCATAGCCTGGGGCATACCCACCCCCAGGACTGCCCAGATGGGAATGAGTGATCAGAGCCTCCTTTGAGGGTCCTTCAGTCACTGAGTTTTGTCAGATTTAGGACAGAGCCCCCTTTTCGTTCACAAAAACAATACCTAAAAGTAGACCTAAGACAGGGCTTTCTGTGAGCTCTGTGGCTGAGCCTGTGAGCAAAACTAATTTAAGATGGAGCAGGAAGTGGTATCTTTCCTCAACTTTCCATCTGCTCCTAATCTGGGCCCTGTGCTGTTCTTGAGCGCCCCCTGGTGTCCGGGATGCTCTCTGTGACCCAGCACAGCTGTCTCCTCATGGAGGATTGTGTCTGGACTCATGCTGACTTCCCCTCACTGTGTCTCTTGCACAGTAATACACGGCTGTGTCCTCAGTTCTCAGGCTGCGGAGCTCCATGTAGGCTGTGCTTGTGGACTTGTCTCTGGTGATGGAGACTCTGCCTTGGAACTTCTGTGCGTAGTTTGCGTATGCATCGCTAGGCCTAACCCTCCCCATCCACTCAAGCCCCTGTCCTGGGGCCTGTCGCACCCAGTGTACCCAGTAGTCGATGAAGGTGTATCCAGAAGCCTTGCAGTAGACCTTCACGGAGGTCCCAGGCTGCCTCACCTCAGCCCCAGGCTGCACCAGCTGCACCTGGGAGTGGACACCTGTGGGAGGAGACAGGAGTCAGTGGAATCCCCCTGGACTCTTCCTGGACCCTCCTTAACCAGGATGGGAGACCCATACCTGTTGTCATGGCCACCAGGAGAAGGGTTCTCCAGCTGCAGTCCATGGTGAGGGCTGTGCTGGGAGCACTTCTGTAGGGGAAGGTGTGGCTGTGGGTGATGCCCTAAGGGTACAGACTTACCTCTATTTAACTTGATCTGCCTCCTCTCTTTTGCATATTCATGAGGCAGAGTATTTCATAGCTGAGGTCTTGACCCCACCTGAGAGAAGATGGTGACACAGGGACCATGTTCAGGAGGAGTCTGAGGGTCCAAGTCCTAATTCTTTTTTCTTTAAATTGTACCTTCATTGTTGAAGGTATTACTCATGTCCCCTTTTATCCCCCACTGACAACTTCTAGCCCACCCTGGGTGCCCCAGGTCTTCACCATCCTATTGTCTGTGTCCCTGGATTAAGCCTCTATGCAGACAAGTTTGTTGGTTGACCTCTTCTCACCTACCCACCCTACCATGATTTCCCTCTGCGATTACCCAGTCTGTTCCATGCTTCCAGGTCTCTGGATCTATTCTGTTCATCAGTTAATTTTGTTAATTAGTTTCTACATATGAGTGAGACCATGTGATACTTGTCTTTCTCTGACTGGCTTATTTCACTTACTATGAATCTCTTTAGGTCCCTCCATGCTGTCCCAAAGTGTTAGAGGTCCTTCTCTTTTACTGATGAATAGTATTCCATGGCATAAATATACCAGAGCTTCTTATTCACTCAATTACTGATGGGCATTAGGGCTATTTCCAGGTCTTAGCTATTGCAAATTGTGCTGCTATGAACGTTGGGTGCTTACATTCTTTAAGACTAATTTTTGGTTTGCTCTGGATAAATTTCTATAAGTGGGATCACTGGGTTAAATGGCAGTTCTATCTGTAATTTTCTGAGGAAACTCCATTCTGTGTTCCATAGTGGCTTCACCAGCCTGCATTCCCACCAGCAGAGCAGGAGGGTTCCTTTTGTTCCACACCCTCACCAGAACTTGTTATTTGTTGATTTGTTGATGGTAGCCATTCTGACAGATGTGAGCTGATACCACATTGTCTTTTTAATTTCTGTCTCTCTGAGGGTCAGTGACCCTGAGCATTTTTCCTATGTCTCTTGACCATCTGTAAGTTCCCTCTGGAGAATTGTGTATTTAGGTCCGTTGCCCATTGTTTTAATGGATAATTTGACTTTCTTTGGGTAACTTGTATGGATGTTTCATACATTTTGGATATCAACACTTTATATCACATGGGTCCTTGCCGAGCATGTTCTCCTATTCTGTGGGCTTCCATTTATTTTGTTGATGGTTTCTTTTGACTGTGCAGACACTTTGTTTTAATGTATTCCCATTTGTTTATTTTCTCCTTATTTTCGTTTTTTCCTGGGAGATGTATCTGTAAACACATAGCTATGAGTGATGTCTGAGATTTTGCTGGCTAAGACTTATTCTAGGATTTTTATATTCTCCCTAGTTACATTTATGTCTTTTAACCATTTTTAGTTTATTCATGTTTATGGTATATGTTTGTGTATTGTTTCATTTATTTGAATGTTTTTCTGTCCAATTTCTCTAAAGAATATTTATTGAAGAGACTATTTTGAGTCGATGGTATGCTCTTGTCTCCTTTGTCAAATAGTAATTGAGTGTGATGGCTTGGGTAGATTTCTGGATTCTCTGTTCTGTTCTTTGGATGTTTATTCCTGTTCTTGTGTTAGTAACAGGCTGTTTTGATTTTTATGGCTTTGGAGTATAATTTGATATCTGGTACTGTGTTTTCTCCACCTTTGTTCTTCTTTGTCAAGATTTCTGTAGCTAATTGGGGTCTTTTCTGGTTCCATATACATTTTTGGAGTATTTGCTATAGATTTGTGAAATGTGATGTTGCTATTTCAAAAGTGATTACATTGAATCTGTAGAGTACACTGGGTAATATGGACGTTTTAATGATGTTAATCCTACCAATCCATGATCACAGTGTATTTTCCACTTGATATATTTTCCTCTATCTCTTTATTAAACATCCTGTATTTTTCTGAGTACAAGTCTTTTACCTTCTTGGCTAAGTTTATTCTTACATTTCATAATATTTTTTATGCAAAGGTAAATGGGATTGTGGGTTTGGTTTCTCTTTCTGAGAATTCATTATTGGTGTATAAAAGTACCATCAATTTCTGGGTGTTAATTTTATGTCCTGCTACATGGATGGATTCATTTATTAAATTTAGGTGAGTGTTTTGTGTGGAGTCTTTATGGTTTTCTATGTACAATATCATGTCATCTATGAATTATAAGTGTTTTACTTCCTCCTTTCCAATTTGGATGCCTTTTATTTCTTCTTCTTGTCTGATTGCTGTGGCTAGAACTTCCCGTACTATGTTGAATAAAAGTGGTGAAAGCAGATCTTTCTGTTTTGTTCAATCTCGTAGGGGAAATGATTTTGGTTTTACTCATTGAGTATGATTCTGGCTGTGGGTTTGTTATAAATGTCCTTTAATATGTTGAAATATGAGCCATCTTCTCCCACTTTGTTGAGAATATTTATTAAAAGTGGCTGTTGGGTTTTGTTGAATTCTTTTTCTGAATCTATAGATATGTACATGTTATATTCTTCTTTCAATTTGTTTATGTGATGTATCATGTGTATTGATTTGTGAATATCATACAAGCCTTGCATCCCTGGATGAATCCCAGTTGGTGATGGTGTATGATCTTTTTAAAATATTGCTGGATCCATTTTGCTAATAGTTGGTTGAGAATTTTAGCATCTATGTTCATCAGGGCTATTGGCCTGTAATTTTCTCTTTTAGGAGTGTTATCTGCTTTTGTAATTAGGTAATGCTGGTCGCATAAAAAGAGTTTGGAGGTGTTCCTTCTTCTTGGAATTTTTTTTTGAATAGTTTTTTGAATATCAGATGTTAGTTCTTCTTTGAATGTTTGGTCAAACTCCCCTGCGAAGGCATCCAGACCATGACTTTTGTTTGCGGGGAGCTTTTGGATTCCTGCTTCAATTTCCTCAGTTGTCATTGGCCTATTCAGGTTTTCTGATTCTTTGTGTTTCATTTTAGGATATTGAGTTTTTCTAGAAATTCTTCCATTTCATCCATATTGTCCGGTTTGTTTGTGTAGTTGTTCATAGCACTTTATTTCAAATATTTTTATTTCTGGAATGTCAGTTGTTACTTCTCTGCTTTCATTCCTGATTTTATTTATTTTGATTTCCTCTCTTTGTTTCCTGATGAGTCTGGCTAGTGTTCATCCAATTTTTAAAAAATCTTTTCAGAGAACCAGCTCGTGTTTTCACCAAGGCCCATTCCTATGTGGTGTAAGTTTCTTTATTCAGCAGAGCTGTCAAATAGGAGGGGACCAGGGGAGATACACAGAGGTCTGGAGAGAGTGCATGACTTGGGGAAGCTTTGAAGACACAGTGGGGTCTCATGGCTCCAGGAAACCTACCAAAGGAGCAAGGAGGGAAGCATGGGAGGTCTTCTCAATCCTGCAGACTTGAGTGAGGTGAAGGTGGGGCCACTACAGCACCTATGGCATGTAGGCTGAGTAATACTGAGATAGAGCAACAACCCAGCAAGCAGCCTCTACCATGTTATTATCTCATCTAAGCCCTCAGAAGAGTGATCTACAGAGGAATCAACACCGTCATTATGAAATGTCAAGTTTTAACCCATGGTTTTAAGTGAAAAAATTGTAAAACTGTAAAGCTGTCTCCTTCACCAAGTGATTTCCCTGGTCAGCAGCTTGTTAACATGAGATGATTTCCAATGAACCTTGTTAAACATCCTATTAAACCATACTACACAGGACACACACACTGCTATCCTCTCACTCAGTGCTGGTGTGACACCTATAGGAAGAGAGCTGAGGTCATTTCCTGCTCCCATGGGACCAGAAACAGCCAATCCTGGCACCTGTAGAAGTGAGGTGACCAGGGAGCAGCCCTCAAGGGCCCTTTGCACCATTCAGATGGGCTTCATCCAGCTTCACTGTCCTTGGGAAGAGCACATGTTTTATTTACTGTGGGCCTGTCAGCATGAAGGCCCTCTGCGCAGGTGGGCATGTGGGTCAGATCCTGAGCTCAGCACACAGGGCCCTGAGCTGAGCTGGGGTCTCTCTTGGTGGGAAAGTTTCCAAGCACAGGCAGATGAGAGCACTGAGGATGGTCTCTGTTGAGAAAGAAAATCAGTAAATAGAGGAACGTGGTGAGGAGAGTCCCTATCACTGCCCACATGTCATCTGCCAGCAGCAGGGTTTCCTCCTCCTCTGGGGTCTGCAGTGAGAAAGCATGAATTAGAGCCTCAGAGAAAGAGCAAGAGCCCTCCCTGGAGGCAGCTGAGAGGTTGAGAGGAAATCCCTGAGCCCCACAGGAAGGCCCTTCTCTGCCACCTCCTTCTGCCCTGCTCCTGGGACTGCTCTCTGTGCTGTGGGTCCTGAGCACCCCCTAGGTTCCTGGATGCACCCTGCAGCCCAGCCTGCTGACTCCTCAAGGAGGTTTGTGTCTGGGCACCACTGACTTCTCCTCACTGTGTGTCTTGAACAGTAATAAACGGCTGTGTCCTCAGCTCTCAGGCTGTTTAGTGTTAACTGAACTTGGCTCTTTGATGTGTCCCTAGAGATGCTGAGGTGGGATTTCAGTGTTGGATTATAGTTTGTACTTCCACAAGACCATAAACCCCAACCCACTCCAGCTCCTTTCCTGGAGCCTGGCGGGCCCAATGTACACCATAGCTGGTCAGAGAGAATCCAGAGACAGTGCAGGTGAGGGAGAGGGTATGTGAGGGCTTCACCAGTCCTGGGCCCAACTCCTGCAGCTGCAGCTGCAGCTGCAGCTGAACCTGGGATAGTACACCTGGGGACAAGTAGCATCAGTCCTGTCAGTCACCTACAGTGACAGCCATCCCATGACCCCACCCTGATCCCTGAGACCCTCACCCTGGGGGGGCTGTCATCAGGCACAGGAGAAGACCCAGCAGTCTCATCTTATTTTAGAGCACAGCTCTGCCTTCCCTGAGACCTCATCCCTGAGTGAGGAGAGAGCTGGGAGTCTGCACAACCCTGGAGAGGATGTACTCTGAAGCTTGAAGGGAAATTTGCCTGTGGGGCAGCCTTTCCTATAAGTTTGGGGCCTGAGGTCAGGCTGCCCTGGTCTTTTGGGAGTCCCTCTTATACTCACAATGTAAGTCAGAGACAAGGGATCACAAGGGTCATGAGCACATTTCAATTAGGTCAATGAATGGCCTAAATGGCCTACATTCTCTGAGAATAAGAAGAAATTGGGGCTCCATGAGCAGGTCACACTTTCCATTTCTCATGAATCATTTCACCATGTGTCATAGGGATTAGCATTTGTTCCGATCATTTCTGAGTCTCAAAACCTTATTATGCCCACATTTCCAACTTTTAAAATCTATTTTTTAAAATAATTCCTATTATTGTACAAATGATGAAAATAAAGAACACCCATTCTCAGAATCTTAATTTATGATGTTATTTTGATCTGAGAAACTATTCCCAAGCATAGAAAAGTGATACACCTGTGATTCTTGAAGTTGGAAATTTTGTGATTGTGTCTGCAGCTTCCTGTGCAAATCATTTGATATGCAAGCTCATGGCCTATTGCAGGTCCCCCCTAATAGTTCCATCAGCAATAGTCATGGCTTTAAGTGGAGAGAATATATGAAGTAAAAGCAGTGATCATGTATGTGCACAATCAGAATCATTCACATGTGGAAATGTGATGGTGGATGGAGTTGGAACTCTTTTCTCAATCTAGTGTCATCAGTGATGTTGGGGTTCAGTGAGAGGTGAGAGAAGAGAATTCTTACCATAGAACGTCTCATCGGAAAAGGAACTACAGCCTGGAGAGGAATCCGCCTCTCCCATGCTCCTCCTTTTTTCCCCCTGGGAGGTCACCGTGGTCAGCGGGTACTGGGTTCTCCCAAAAGTATATAAAGTCCTTAAAGTATTATGTGTGCGTTCTGCCATTAGACATGTTATTTGGAAATACATTCTTCACGTTTATGTTTTAATTTGTGCACTGAAATCTTTTATGGGACAAAAGTCTTTAATTTAAACAAGGTTAATTAAACAATATTGTTTGTAATGGGTGACTTTTCAAAGAACTCCCCAGAAATTGCTGGGTCTCCACTGTCCATGTGGATTGGCTACAGCAGCCACAGGGACTGGACCAGGTTCTGGTACCAGAGGGGAGGGCTGCTGGGAAACTACCCATCATTGTGGATGTGACTGGACCTGGGTGAGGGAAGGAAAATGGACTTGATTTGAGTCACATGACAGAAACGGGCCTGATGTTCATGGACAGAGAGTTACTGTGCATGTGTGTTTTAAGCTTCCTCCAGTGAATGCCCAGAAAGAAGTGCAGAGCATCATAGACATAGATCATATCATCCTAGGAAACACTTGAATAATGACAAGCAGAACTTGATTGAATTAAAAGCATTAAAGATCATGCAGGCAGGGATCAAGAGAAATAAGCAACCTGTCACTGCAAGGTGGGGGGAAGGGGTCCCTGTTTCCTACAGGCAGATTCTCACATGGTCTCTGTTCTAGAAGGTGACCCTTCCCAGGTGTAAGGTGTTCACACTTGGATACCTTTGGGTTGAGTAACCACATGGTCTCACCATGAATCACCCTAATTGCATAATTCATTGGGGTCCCGTTCATGAAATCTCTCCACACTCACTGGGGAGAGTGGACATTCCTCACTGGAGGAGCCAAGGTGATGGTGTGACTGTACGAGGAGCCTTCATTCCATTAGTCCAGGTCACCTGTCTCAATCCATCATCTTCATTGTAATCATCATGAACATCATCATCATCATTGTCACAACGTGCTTACTTATAATCACTCTTCTCATTTTCTGTGGACATGGTGGTTGTCCACACACAGCAACTTCTTATAAGTAAACAAAGCAGATGCCTCCTCTTCAGATGCCATTAGTGATGAGTCCCCAATGGCCCAACTCTAAGTTGGCACCAGCCTTTGAAAAAGCCAGTGACAAATTGGTTGGAAAGGACTGATTCCCACCAAGACATTGGACCAAGATTCCTTTCCAAATCTATCGTCACCAC